GGGGCGGGGCGGGCAGGTGAGTTCGGATGCGGAGCCTAAGCCAGGCGGGGACCAAACCTGGGGGGCTGCGAATTGCAGCAGGTTTCAGAGGAGGGGAGGCTTCTGGAAGGAAGAGCGCGATCTCCCCGCGCCCCGGCTCAGTTCGCTCCGCGGCTCCTTCCCGCCCTGTCGGCTCCCCGCTGCTGCGTCTCCCCACCTCAGGGGCGAGGAGCGGGGCGGAGAGGAGGCGGGAAAGGACCCTCAGGAGGGTGGGGGCGCCAGAGGGCTGCAGAGGGCGAGGTGGGGCGGCGCTCCCTAGTGTGTGGGGCACGTTGGGAGCCAGATGTAAGGCTGAATGCCCCACAGGGTCATGGGGTGAGCCTTATGGTGTGCTGAGGCGCAGGATCCGAGAAATAAAGAGACAGGATACAAAGTACAAAGAAAATGCAGCTGGGCTGGGGGTGCGGGGCACACCACCTATAAGCGGAATCAGGCGAGGCTGGCGCGCGGAGGCTGGCGCGCGGAGGGTGGCGCGCCGTCGCTGGCGAGGCCCCAATGCCCAGAAGCATGAATATTCATTGTGCATAGGTTAGGGGGCAGGGCAGTGAGTGAAATCATCTTTAAGGATAGTGATAGGGTCTTGAGCAATAAAACATGGGTTCCACCCGCATTAGGTCACCTAGGCCAGGAGGTGCACAGTGCACAGCAAGGGGCCCGTTCCCACGAAGGCAAGGGCTGTGTGCAGTAAGGGGTCCACCCCCATTAGGTCACCGAGGCTTGAAGATGGGCCATGCGCAGTGAAGTGGGTGCAGTGTGCGATACTTCTATCTATGGGAAACTACTTCTAAGAAGATTTATAGGAGGATGCTTTAAGTCACATAGCAGTGACAGAGCTGTCAAGGTTACCGCCACCTTCTGGCAGCTTCCAGTGGGTTCTATGGGAAGATGCTTTTCAAGCAGCACAGTAGCAAGAGCTGATAAAGTTCACAGTCACCAAGGTGGATTGCCTTTCTGAGGGCAGCCTTCCACAAGAACTGGAGCAAGGTCCTACAACTCCTTTATCAGGAGGAGTGGCTCTGGCCTCAAGCCTGCAATACAACGGGTATCTTTACGATACTGAACGCTGCTGCCTGGGCCGTGGATTCTTGTCCTGGTATAACTGTTTTTCCCTTAAATCACGCTCTGCACTGTGTCTGCTCTAGGCATTTCTCCCATTATAAGCTGCTTATTCCTTAATTCATGCTCTGTACTGTGTCCACTCTAGGCATTCCTCCAATTATAAACTAAGATATAATTATAGGTATATATGTAGGGAAATTTTCTTTAGGCACTCATATTATCAGCTATTAATGATTATATATAGAGGATTATATAAAGGGAGACTTCAAGCCCTATTTCTATAAACTAATATATGATTATGTAAAGGATTATATAAAAGGAAATAGCTGAGTAGTAACACTATAAAGTGAGCTATTCCTCAAGCCCTAACTGTGCCAGGGTTCTGCTTAGCTGTCATTCTTCGGTGCCTATATAGGGGGTTACCCACACTAGTGCAGCCCGGCAGTCCCACCCGCCCTCGGGAAGAAGAAACCAGAGACCCCGCAACCCGAGCTGGGGTCAGGACACGTGTAAAAAGGAGTTCCACAGGGACAAGATCACAGACACACCCACCAGCCACAGGCCTGCTCTGCTCTCACCCGCTCTCCACATACAAATCCTCCAGCACCCCCAGGGCTCCTTCCCTTCTCCCCTGAGCTTTCCTGCAGACACTCACCTGCACCCAGGGGCTCAGCAGACACTTCCCACCCCTCCCTCACATCCACTGCCACCTCCCAGGTCACATCCTCTCACTCCCACCTCAGCCCAGCCCTGTCACCCCCATGCCTCCCTCACCACCTCCCCCACCAACTGGCACCTTCTTCCCTTTGCCCAAGGACACACCCAGCAAACACATACCTAACTCCCCACAGAACCTGTGCAGGGGAAATGGGACACACCATGTCCCCCATGATGACCCTGGGAACCCTGGCGAGTAGAGGCACCCACTTCTGCCCTTGGGTCCCAGAGCCACCTGATTCCTACTGGGGAGACGGTCTCGTAGAGAAGAGTCACTGTGCATGTTCCCGGAGCCAAGCCTGTCTGGCTGCCTTTTCCCAAGGCCAAATAATGAGAAGCAGACAAACTAGGAAAGAAGGGAATTTATTGCTGTAACCAGATAGAGGGAGAAGGCAGAGATAATTCTACCAGACCAACTGAAAGTGTTACCATTTTCTTAGTGCTTACATAGGTTGGGGTTATGTGCCTATGTGCAGTGTAGCTTTCACCTAAGTCTGCTGGGAACTAATTTTATTACACCTAGAAGGTCAGAGGCAAAAATGCTCACTAAGTCTGATTAAAAGGGCACCAGTACCTTCATCGCCTGTCTGCTGTTGTACCAGGGTGATTATTTCTATCTTATCTCCTTTACAGCTTGGTCAGGAGAGCTGCCTTAGACTCTCCAATGAACCTATTCAAACAACTGCCCCTGCTACCTTGGCTTGTCTCAGATACAGGTCCTGGCACTAGGAATGAAGACTGTCTCTATTGTTTTGGCTTGCTCCAGGTCAGGGAGAAGCCCATGCAAGGCTCCTATTGACCACATGTTTCATTTTTAGCTTTGATGTCTGGGCACCGATTTCCCTGGGTTTACTTGCTGAGTGTTAAGGCAGTGCTGTGGAAATCTGTCTGTGTAACCGGAGTGTCGTGCAGGCCTGTCTGTGTGACTGTCAGGGGGAATTGGCCTGCCACATGCAGACAGGAGTCAGCAAGGCCTTTCTAGAAAAAGAAGGCAGGAGGCACTTTGGTCTTTCAGGGTTCTGTCTCTGTGTCCAGTCCTGTCCCTTTGTAGAGCAACAGCAGACAATGGCAACCTGTAAATGAAAGGGGACCAGATTTGGCCACTGTCCTTTATTGCTGTCCCTCCATGAGATTACAGTGTCCCAGTGATTGGGACCCAGTTCCCTAGAATGCCATCTCCAAGCAGTGTCCAGGTGTGACTTCAAGAGTCAGAAGCGGGTCCTACTTTCCCTGTGGCTTCTGGGTGGTATGGATGTTACAGGAGTCGGGGTCCCATGGTTCGGGGTCTACTCTCCCCTACTTTGCTGCTGAGTGGCATCTATGATCCACAGGGTCCATCAGGGATCCTCCCTGAATCCTCAAGTATAAGCTGAGGGTGAGGGGGTACAGCCATGTGGCATCCTGGGGATTGGGGCCAACTGCTTGTGCAGCTTCTCGGTTCCCTGTGGCCCTGCCCCTGCCCATCCCAGGAGAACCACCTGTATCTTCTCACAGCCGGGCCTACCTTCCTAATGACCTAGAGGGTGAGGAGCACACCCTGTGATGGCAGCTCTGAGGCTGTGCGGTCACTGCCCTCCTGTTGCTGGAGACCCCATCTCTGCCAGGGCTCAGGACTACATAGGAACTGCTTTTAAATGGTGGGATTTATTTCACTGCTCCAAGTGGCAAGACCTTGCTTCTGGGCACCGGGATTCTCCAGTTAGGAACTGCCATGAACTTCACATAAAACTTTCTTTAAACACAGGGGCTTCTAGGATCTTAGAGTGTCCTGTGTTGTAGGGCTCTGGTGACAGGTGCAACCACATTCATCATGCATGGTTTGTCTGTCACCGAGATGCAGCAGCAGCAGCAGAGTTTAGCAGTAACAACAGGAGCTGTGTCGCCAGCAAGCCCCTCATATTCACAATGCAGCCCTCACAGCAAGCTCCAGGGGCCATGCATCTATGCGGGGAAGTCGGAAAAGAGGCATCACACTTGCTACGGGGTTGATAGGTTTTTCCTCATAGGAACCTGGATTCTGCTTCTAGCAATTGATTCTGAGTCTAAGAAGTGGTGTAGTGCAGGAAATTCAACAAATTATCTCAATTTTTAAATGAAATGTCCACTTTTAATCTCCCAATTATCCATTGCTGTGTTTGTCTTTATTTATTGTTGTTAAAGTCCTAGAGTAACCAGGTTGAGTCTCCAACTATTTTGCCTCTTGGACACCCTTGTTTTATGTCATGGGCATAGCTCCTTGTGGCTGACGTCCTCAGTTGGCATTGTGACTTCCCTAATCATCTCCATCATGGCACCCTCCTTGCTCCTGACAGTTGACAGCCTCCACTTGAAATCTGTTATTTCAGGATTTTTCATCCCATTACTCCTGGGAGCCCATTTCAGGAACAGCATCTTCTACCCCCAACCCTGGCCTTCAGCAACAGGCACCCATGAGCTTCTTCCGATTCTGCTGTCTTCTCTCGGGCTCTTCTTTATATGCTGGGTAAACAGGAGTCCTCCAGGCTCCCCATGAGCACAGAGGATGGACAATGTTCTGGATTTTCATGCTGCGGCTACTCTGTCATGGGTGCTTCTCTGAGCCTTTTGGTTCTTTCCTCTACACCCTGGCTTAGAAGTTGTGGATTTTCAACTTCTTGCCCTGTGAACCATCCCTTTCCAAGGTTCCAGAAATGCATCCTCATTGCAGATGGGCATCATTACCAGGAGCTTTCCCAGTGTGTTAAATCTTGGGACACATGGCAATAGTCAATTCTGTATCCAAACTGAATTTGGTCCTCACCCCACCCACTGTGCTGGAGCATCCTAGGGCAGCCCCCACACCTCCTCCCACCTCCCGCAGTCCACAAGGGCTGCTGTTGAGGGTCCTCCTTATCCAGGCCTTTTCCTGCCACAGCAGGCCTGGCACCTCCATGACAAGGTCATGTGCTGACCGACATGGGCAGAACCCAGGTGGGATATGTCTTGGGGGGCATGTGGTTTTTTGGCTGCAGGAATCTTCCCCTCTGTGTACCCAAGCAAGGGAGATGCTCTAGTCTTCAACTAGTTGGCATGACAGCCCTGGCTGGGGGACATCTTCCTCTGCCAGCCCAGCCTCTCAGAGGACTCCTCCTGTAGTCACCACATCAGGGAAGAGGGATCTTAGGTTCCACTTCCCCCACACCCACCCTCTCTTGTTTTTCTTCCATAGACACACACCATCTCTCCTATGACTTCATCATCACTCCTAAGTTCAGACCTGAACCACGGTGGTGTAAAGTTCAAGGCCAAATGGATAAAAGGGCTTTTCTTCACTATGACTGTGTTAACCATAAGGCCAAAGCCTTTGGTTCCCTGGGGAAGAAAGTCAATGTTACAAAAACCTGGGAAGAACAGACTGAAACACTAAAAGATGTGGTGGATTTCCTCAAAGAGCAACTGCCCAACATTCAAATGGAGAATGTAATACCCAGTGGTAAGTTTAAAATGGCCCAGGAGAGGAGGGAGCAGACACAGTAGTAACTTGGAGGCAGTTATTGGTTTCATAGAAAGAATCAATCAGAAGTCTGTGTCACCCAAGAGGTTGAGGAGTATGGGCAGGTTGGAGCAGAGAGAGCAAGTCCAGGAGACAGTAAAGGAAGCAGGGCGGGGCTCAGGATTTGTCAAGATTAGAGCTGATCTCTTTCCAATGGGGCAGAGCCCCTCACCCTGCAGGCCCAGATGTCTTGTGAGCACAAAGCCCATGGATACTGCACAGCATTTTGGCAGTTCATCTTCAATGGACAGAGGTTTCTCCTCTTTGACTCAAACAACAGAAATTGGACAGTGTTTCATCCTGGAGCCAGGCAGTTGAAAGAGAAGTGGGAGAAGAACAGTTATGTGACCACGTTCTTCCAGAGAATTTCAACGGGGGATTGTATGATGTGGCTTGAAAAATTTTTGATATACTGGAAACAAATGCTGGAGACAACAAGTAAGTGAGAAGAGAAAAAAGACAGCTCTCTTTAGCAGATCTTCTCAACCTGCTGTGTGAGTGTGTGTGTGAGTGTGTGTGACTGTTGGAGTGAATGTGAGCGTGACTCCCTCCTGGGGGGCCCTCCTGGGGGCGCCTGTGCTCACCCATCCTCCTCTCCCTTCTCCCTCCTGACTCCTCTTCCTCCCTGCACTTAATTCTTTTCCACCCAGTGTGGATTTCTCACCAGCCTCGAATCTGGGTGTCATAGTGTTTCCACATTTTTAATGTTAGTGTTCCTTCCTTATAGAATCACTTTTCCTTTTCTCTCCCTGATCTATTTCTGGAAATCCATCAAAACAACCTCCAGTGCCAGCCCTGAGACCCTTCCCTTCCCCACTCTGGGGCATCACCTCCTCTTCCGCCACAGCAGGAGGGTGGGCTGTGCTGTCACCTTGCTTCCCTCAGCAGCTGTGTGAGATCCCTGAAGACAGGGAACACCCCCTCTCCCTTCCTACCCCAGGACCTGTCACAGCCGCTGCCCCCCAGCAAAGTGGGACAAAACCTCTGCCTTGCAGGATGACCTGGGGTGGCAGGAGCTGAGGAGGCATCTCCTCTAATTTGGGGTCTGGACAAGGGCTGTGAGGCTTGTGTTTTCATTTCAGCTCCACCCACCATGACGCAAGGCACAGTCCAACCCAAAGCCAGGGCCACCACCCTCAGCACCTGGAGCCTCCTCGTCTTCCTCCCCTGCTTCATCCTACTTATTGTTTTTAAATAAACCCGCCAACCCCACAGCAAGTGTGATGCTTTTTTTTCCAACTTCCCCACATAAATGCATGGCCCCTGGAGCTTGCTGTGAGGGCTGTATTGTGAATGTGAGGGGCTTGCTGGTTTCATCCTACCTGGCATCTGAGGAGTGACAGGTACTGTGGGAAGAATTGGGAGGGGACCAAGGAGCAGATGGGTGAGGTGGGAAAACAAGAAAGGAGAATTCCCACAGTCCCACCCCTCCCCATGGCCGGGAACTTTCCATCCTGTAATGAGACAGGTGAATGAGACCTTGTGTCGCTTGTTGGTAATGATCTGGGCAGTTTTGCCCTGAGTTCTGATGGGTTGTCACCTTCAGAGGCCAGAGGGAAAGGGAGGAGCCCTTATCAAGGCTCAGGGCCTGTTGAACTTGAGAGGGTTTAGCCAGTTCAGGGCTGATTCAGAGCAGGATCCTATTCAGGGTGTGTGCCTGCAGGCAGCGGGAATTTAGACTTGGGCAGTCCTCTTAATTGGGTTAGGTGCATCATGGCAACTTCACATGAGGCGTGACAAGGGAAGGGGGATTCCATCTCTGAGGCTAAGAGAAAGATCTGGGTCTAATCCCAGGAGGAGGGGGCTGGGAGACCTTGGTACACCTAATTCAAAAGGAGGGAGTGCAGGGCTGCCTTCCCACAGAAAGTGGCTTGGGTTCCAGGAATTAAGGTGGCAGGTGAAAAGTAGAGGCTGATCATGAGAAGGTTTTTAAAAAAGTCAGTCCCGTGGACCCATGGGGTTTGAATCCGGGCCCTGAGGCGGCTCCCTGACATCCTGCCTTCTGGGCATCCCAGATCCTGAGTTGGCTGATGGCCCTGCCTGGAGCAGAGTGGACTCAGACACGGGGGAACTGAGCTGCTGCTGGAGTTCCATGGGCACCACTGGGCTGGACTAGGAATGAAGAATGTGGAACAGGGACTGTCACCTTCAGAGCTACGGGTGCTGCTCCCATTCTGAGGAGAGGCTGAGGAAGAAGGGGAAGGAGGGATGTTTGCCTGCAGGCCCACCGAAGGCCAAGGGCACAGGAATACAGAGCCCTCTCTTTGGACAGGCTCCCCGACCCCTTGCCATGTTTTAGGCCCTCTCATCAGATGGTAGAGTGGCCTTGAGAGAGGGAGCAGGCCCATCACTCCCTGCTTCAGTCCCGCAGGCCCCTTTCTCCACCCTTGGTCAGGTGCAGGGCCTGGGCTGACTCTGTGATGTGACAAAGGAGGAGGAGGTTGGTCCAAGATGCAGGCACCAGGGTTGGGGATCAAGGGGAAAACAGGTTCCTTAGTGCAGTGGAATGACTGAAGACGGATTGTCTGAAAAAAGTGATCCGGGTTCTCCTCCATCTCTTAAACCAACATTTGTGTCTTTTCTGAAGTTTGAAGATGATACCAAAAAGCCCCTGTGAGCACGGGGCTCAAACCCACCCTCTGGCTGGCCACCTGCCAGCTGTGTAGGGTGTATCTCTAGACCACAAGGAGCTCCAGACTTTGCAAGTTTGGTGAAGGTTTCTATTTTAGTCTGTATCAACCTAGACACTTTGAACTAGCAAAAATTAAACCAAAATGCTGATGGAAAATATTGAGTCTCAAATATATTAATGACTTCTGAGTGACACATACAAATAGTAACCTCATCAATCTAGATTTCTCCACATATGTTCCAAAATATACAGATCAACAAATGGTACAAATAAAATACCATCACCTGTACCTTCAGCAAAATGAGATAGGAAATGCCTAATCCCTCAGATCTCTGTAACCCATTGGTGAACTTTGAGTCGAGCGTGAGCATGAGGTGGTGTCTTGTATGGATGTGAAACTGTTTTTGGTGATTATACTGTGGTTATTAGGAGAAGGTCCTGGTTTGGAGGGAGAACACTGAAGGATGGGGCATCAGATGACATCATTAAAGGTGGAGGGCGCACCAGGGTGACAGCTCACTCTGAAGTGGCAGAAAGAGAAGTTCTCTGGACTGCGCTGCAATGACTATAGTTATTTCTTTTTTCATGTTTTCATACTATTTAAAAAGCACATCAAGAAATTCAAGAAAACTTACTTTTTAGAAATTGATGTGGAGAGGTAATTCCATAAATACAGCACAGCTCCTCCTCCTCCTGCAAAGGCAGGGCCTCTAGGTGTTTCCCTCTCCCCCTCTGTTCTCAGCCTCAGACAGCTTCTTCTTCCCCCTCCTCTCCTGCAGGCAACCCCCAGGCACCTCTAGAGACAGAAGCAGCTCAGGCCCAGAGTCCCTTCATCACTTTCTAAATACATGGCCTAATCCAGATGAGACTCAGATCTGTGAAGGGTTGGATTTCCATGAGCACAGAAGCTGAGAGAGGGTTCTGCTTTCATCTGGGGCTCATTTTAGAGCATAGCCATAGATGGTCACCCAGGCCTGAGTCTGCAGCTGCACCCACTCACCATGCACCTCATCCCTGTGGTCACTCCATCTACCCACAACTGAGGAATCCCCAGCACATCCTCATCTCAGCAAACACGGAGGCATCTGGAACTCTGGGCAGAAGTAGGAGGGAGGTGGGAAGCACAATGGCCCCTGGCAGCTGGGGGTGGCTTAGCCTGGGGTGAGGACTGGTCAGAGCCCCTAAGTCCCACTCTGCCCCCCGCCACTCAGCCTGTTCCTCATTAAATGAGAAAGAGAGACGCTGACCTCCCACTCCACACAGTCTTCATGGGGGGAGGACCTGCATCTGGTGACCATCAGTCCCCAGGGTCTTGAAGCTGTGGAAAAGAGGAGGAGGCCTGGACCAAGCCCAGGGCCTATCTCTGTTTCAGGTCAGGGGCATGGGATGGCAGCCACCTCTGTGACTGAGCAGCTACATAGGAGTCTAGAAGGTTCCTGCCTGATGTACTAGAGCCTCTGTCCAGGAGGGGCCATGTGGGGGGTGGTCTGGAGGACAACAGGCACACGGAGGTGGGCAGTTCTCAGATCTGGGAGGGGCAGAGCTTGGCGGGTCCAGGATCTGTGTGTGAGAAGAGACTCCCATGCACAAGGCTGGGGACAGAAGCCGGGTTAGTCCTGGGAGGAGGCCACTGGAAAGGCCCTGGCAGCCGCACCCTGAGGCTGGGTGACCTGGGCCAGTGACTAGGGGAGCAGGAGGAAGGCAGAAGGCTGGCAGGAGAGCCTGGAGGAGGACAGCCAGGTGACAGGAGGAGGGTCCTCTGCACACCTGGGCCCTCTGCCTCACCCCTGCTGCAGGCTTCTGATCACCAGACTCAAGCCAGCCCAGGATAAGAATAGGAGTGGCCACAGGTGACCGTAATGGCTGTGATCTAGAGACCATGCATTCAGACATGGAAGTCAGCTGACATTATGGCTGGACATTCTTGTGCTGAATATTCTTCAGCTTTCTGGGCATGGGTGTCCACATGTGGAAATTAACAAATGCTATGAACACAGAGGAAATGAGCAGATCATGCCAGGAACCCCGTCCTTGCACATGGTAAGAACTCAGGGAAGGTTTCCTTTTTCAGTTATGAGCCCTGCCCTCCCTGAAGTTAGCAAAGGCCAGGCCCACTTTGATGAGAGGTGGAGCTGTGAGTCTAGGCTATGGCCTCTTCACAAACCTGGGGCTCTTTGAAGGGGTGAAAATAAAGGAGAGAAATTAGGGAGGGAGATCAAGCAAAGATGTGACCACAGACACCCCAACAACCACACAGTCTGCTCTCACACACCCTCTACCACACAAACGCTCTAGCACCACCAGGGTTCCTTGTCCTTTACCTTCCTCCTGCACTTTGCTACAGACACTCACCTGCACACAGGGGCTCACCAGACACTTCCCACCCCTCCCCTCATGATTCACTCCCACTACCCAAGTCACATCCTTTAGTTCCCCATCTCAGCCTGGCACTTGTACCCACCCAGACCTCACTCAACTCCCCATCCATGAAGGGTCCTCACCACCTCCTTCAGCAACCAGGGGGGCCCAGGACCCACTTACGAGGAATCTAGAGTCTTTTTCAGACCCACAGAGGAAGATTCTTCTCTATCACCAGGTGAGCCTGACATGATTTAAGTGTTGGTTGGAGGCTGAAGGAATGACTGAATGATTCAATGAGATAGTTGGGAGAGTGAATGGGCTCAGAAGAAAAACCCCAGGTGCAGAAGGGGAGCTGCAGGGGAGGCTGGAACCCCCAGAGGCCTGAAAGTGGCAGTACCGTGGCTGAAGACCTCCCACACGGGCAGAAGTTGGGAAATATGTGTGCTCACCTGAGTGCCCACAGAGTTTTTCCAAAGAGGAGAAACTTTGTCTTACAACAGGTACAGAATCTTTTAATGAACTTGTTGATCACAGGACAGAAAACTGCTCTCTATAGCCTATTTGATTGAAACCAGAGTAAACTGAGAACAGAAAAATTCTAGCCAGAGCAATCGGGCAAGTGAAGGAAAGAAAGGGTATACAAACAGGAAAAGAAAAAGTCAAACATCTCTCTTTGCCAATGATGTGATTTCGTACATAGTGAGCCTATCAAAAGGCTCCCGGAACTGGCACATGAATTGAGTAAAGTTTCAGGATACAAAACCAACGTACACCATCAGGAGCATTCTTATACATCAATAACATTCTAGCTGAGAATGAAGGCAAGCGCACAATGTCATTTATAACAGCCACAAAGAAAATCTAATGCCTAGTAGTTCATCTAACCAAAGAGATGAAAGATCTTTCCAAGAAAATTACAAAACATGGCCAAAAAAAAAAAAAATCAGAGAAAACTCACATAAATGAAAAAAATAATTTATGTTCATGGGTTGGAAGAATCAATATAGCTAAAATGGCCATACTTTTAAAAGCAATTTATAGATGCAACGCTATCCCTATCAAAATAGCAATGCCATTTTCCACAGAATTAGAAAACTCTAGTCTAAAAATTATTTGAAATTTTAAAAGTGCCCAAATATCCAAAACAATTATAAGAAAAAACAAACAAACAAAAAAACAAATCCAGAGGCATTACATTGCCCAACTTAAAACTATAATATAAGGCTACAGTGCTCAAAACAGAATGGCACTGGTACACAAATAGACACTTATATCAGTGAAACAGAATAGAGAGCTCAGACAGAAACCTTCACACCTGCAACCATGTAACCTTCAACAAAATTAACAAAAATAAACAATGGAGAAAGACTCCATATTTAATAAATGGTGCTGGGATAACTGGCTAGCCATGTGCAGAAGAATGAAACTGAATCGCTGCCTTTCATGATTTATGTAAAATAAATTGACATGAGTTAAACATTTAAATGTAAGTCCTAAAACCATAAAAATCCTGGAAGAAAACCTAGGAAATACCATTCTGGACATAGGGCTTGGCAAGGAATTTGTGATGAAGACACCAAAACCAATTGCAACCAAAACCAAAAATTGATAAATGGGACCTCATTAAACTTTTGCTGTGCTGAGCCTCTGCACAGCAAAAGAAACTAGCAACACAGTAAACATCATATAAAATGGGAGAAATATCTACAAACTGTGCATCTGACAAATGTCTAATATCCAGAATCTACAAGGAACTTAAACAATTCAACAAGCAAAAACAAAAAACCCAATTAAAAAAATAAGCAAACAATGTGAACACTTTTCAATAGAAGACCAGCAAGTGGCCAAGGAACATGAAAAAATGCTCAGTTATCATCCGAGAAATGCAGATCAAAACCACAGTGAGCTACCATCCATACCAGTCAAAATGGAAGTTCTTAAATAGTCAGAAAACCACAGATTTTGGTGATGCTGAGGAGAAAAGGGAACACTTAAGCAATTTTGCTGGGAAAGAAAACTAGTTCAGCCACTATAGAAACTAGTTTGGAGATTTCTCAAAGAACTTACAATAGAACTACCATTTGACTCAGCAATTCCATGTCCACCAGTTCTCTCAGTACTGGGTTCTGTTTTTTCCAGGCCTTTGTGCTATTCATTTTCTTCCCCAGGGGACCCATGGGTGTGACTGTCTTGTTGCCACAGTCATTGTGAAGAAAAGCCTTTTTATCCTTCTGGCCTTCAACCACACACCACCATGGTCCAGGTCTGAACTTAGGGATGATGATGATGATAGCAAAGAGAATGGGGAGCTGGGGAGGGATAACATGGGAGAAATGCCAGATATAGGTGATGGAGATTAAGGCAGCAAACCACATTGCCATCTGTGCAAGAATCCTGCATGTTCTTCACATGTACCCCAGAATCTAAGACGCAATAAAACATATTTAAAAAAAAAAGGAAAAAAATACACGTGAATGTAAAAATGGAAACCACAGACAGTGGAGATCAGTAGGCAGGGCCATGGGGAGGGGCATGTGGGCTGAAGAACCACTTACTGGGTACCATGTTTACTGTCTGGGATCATTGGGATCCCAAGCCTCAACATCCCAAAACTGACTCATGTACCAAACCCACATGTATATTCTTTAATTTATAATAACAGT